AACTTGGCCCACAGACCACTAGCTAGCTCCCTCTGCAAGGCCACTATAGCCTGCGTATACCTGTCTCTTCTGTATAGGGCTGAGTGCTAGTACAGAGGCTAAACTAAACCTCTATGTATACTTAAACCTAGCAGACTAGCATAAGTTAGCACCTATGTTAGGTAGCACATAGCTGTTACAGACAAAACACTAGCGATAGCAGTAAGAGGCATCCTCCTAGTGTAGTGAACAACCCCTACTGCTACTCTCTTCTAAGACGCCAGACTACCTTCAGCTGCTACTGCGCTAGAAGAAGCTAAACTCTGTTTTGCAACCTATCTACGCACTATAGATGCAGAACACCCACTAGCTAGCTGCACAGTAGCTGTAAGAATGAGCATAGGCTAGATAGCTAGAAAGCTGCAACAAATGCAGACCAAATTCTAGTATCTAGGATCTCTTCTGCCTAAGATACCTAGGACAATACTAACATCCCCTTACTACTTACCTAGCTACTAAACAGACCTAATACTTAGAATAGATAAAAAGATAGTAGCTAAGGTATTTAAAGAATAGTAGGCTTAGCTCCTACTATTAGATATTACTATCTTTTTAGATAGCTCTAAACAGTACACAAAGGAAGGAGAAAAGTAGGTTACCTACAGCTTTGCAGTGTAATAGGGCAGAAAACAACTGTAGACTAGACATGGATTACTCTACCCTACCTTACACAACTTTAACGTAGAAGTAGTAGGAGTATAGAGGGTCCTCTAGCATATTATAAGATAACTAGCCCTCAACACTTGCTAAATCTGGCTGTGCATAGACAGCACCTTAGTTATAGTGCCTAAAGGGCAGCGCATCCCCTACCTCTTAATAGGCCTTCCTAGAGTGCTATAGTGCTATAGAGACACACGACGTCTCTGTCAAATGGGCCCCTAGACATCTAGGCATTAAAGGAAACAAAGCAGCCAATACATCGGGAAAAGTTTTTCAAAATCCAGCCTAGACTAGCTGTTGCTGACAGTTGTGGCATGGTCGTGCAACAGCTGTTCAACAGCCCCAACAGCCCTAATTTGCGCCTAACAGCCCTAATTTCGCGCTAATATTGCTAACAGCTAAAATACTAAGTGCCTATATTTAATAAACTTAAAACAATGTTATAATATTGTTATATAGCTGCTCTTAGTGCTAGCACTAGCATTAAATATTTAAAAATTACAAAATTTTACATATAGATATAGCGAAATTGTAGCTTTAAAATAAGCAAAAAATTATTATTGTAGGCCTACTACAACGCAAGTTATAGAGTGTTGAAGGTTTGTTTGTTAAAGGTTTGTGTTTTGAAGTTGCGACAGCACACCATAGCAGCTGCAGCTGCGCCAGCACACAATGTATCAGCTGCAGCTGCAACAGCACACGACGTAGCAGCTGCAACAGCACACAACAAAGCACCTGCTAACAAGCACACACTACAGAATAGGCAGGCCTAGGCGTAAAATTCTTGGTTTACCTACTATTCTTAAATAATATTCTTATATTTTCTAATATTTAGGCTACTAGAGCCCTAGCAAAGAATCTTAACTTAGTGTCTTAGTAAGGAATATTAAGCTTAAAACCTTCTACACTTAATAACTATTCTATTACTAGGCCTATAATATTATTTAATAGCTTATCTTAAAGAGGAGACATAGTAGTATATTAATATAATAAAAGTATAACGTACTCCACAAGCGAGCTGGCCACCCAAGCGAGCTGGCCACTTTTGCCAAGACCACACCAATACTGCACCTACTTTGCAACATTACAGCACACAACTATAATATATTATACTACACAGTATACTAAACTAGTCTGTAGTACTCTGTGTATCTTTACTGCATGTTCGCGCGTTATGCCCTGTCTTGCTACATGTGCCACAGCGCCTTAGAGACTGAGTGCTCCTATCAACACGCAACCTCTTCTTTGCCTTCTTCCTATCACTACAGGCCTTAAACTCCTTTAGAGTAGTTAGCCACACTCCCTTAGCAAAGACTAGAGTCCCCTCTCGCTGTAATTGCTTCCTTTTGTGTAATTTACAACGTGTGGCAGCCTTGTTAGCTGCCTGTAGGTCAGCAACCTGGTTGCGCACTAAAACTAGTGAATGCGCTATCAGCTCTGCGCCTTTAGTGAGCTAATTAAGAGTGTTAACTATAGACATTAGCAAGCTATTAGTGTGTCTCTAAATCCTCTCTTAAATTAGCTTTAATTAAGACCTAAATTCTAGGGTGTTGCTTAGTATTTTAGACTCCTACGTACTGTTGTCCACAGTAGGTGGCGTTGGCGTGCGCAGCTGTACTTCAAGCTTTAATAGCACAGCCTCTAGGTTAAGTAGGACTAGGCTAGCACCTCTAAATCCCCCCTAGATGTTGCTCTCTGTGATTAAGGCGTCAAAAGCCGCTTTAAAGCACAGCAAGAACTCAAGTTTAGTGATGTGAGTAATCTTGCTGCGCATCAGCCGCTCAGCTTGGCGGCCATAGGCCTTCTTTAACAGGGCAAAACAGCCTACGTTAAGTGGCTGCAGTAGGTGCGACAAGTGTGGAGGCATACACAGGGTAATAATCTTGTGTTCCTCGCAGTACTGGTGGAATTCAACTGAGTTGTGGCTCTCGTGGCTGTCTAGAATAAGCAGCTAATGGCTGCTAACAGTGCGCGCCTCTGTGTGCTTATTAAAGTGCTTTAACCACTTAACTCTAAGCTTGTTATTAGTCTAGCTGTTGTTAGAGACATTAAGAACCTAGTTATTAGGTATACTAGGCTCCTTATACTAGGCAGAGAGGTAGTGCTTGCTAGAGAAGATAATAAAGGGTGGGATAGACTAGCCCTTCGCGCAGATGCCTTAGATGATACTGGTCCACTCTTAGTCACCCTGCTGCACTGCCTTTAGTCTCCCTCAACGCTTAGAGCCTGTAACAACAGCTCCTGTTAATATAACACCTATTATAAAGCTAGACTTATTAAAGTTGTAGGTGTCTTTATCTTGTATGCTATACTTAGCTTTAGTATTCTCTACTAGTTAGAACTAGTCCCTAATTACCTTAGGATCCTTACACAGAGCTCTCTTATAGTTATACTTGCAATTGAATTTAACTTTAAGCTCTAGCTGATGTTTTACAAAGTTGGCAGCCTAGTTCTTGCTAACGTAGGGCTGGTGGCGCTCAGCAAGCAGAGAATTGGCCATATCCTCCACATCAGCAAGCCGGGGTGGGTATCCTCGCTCGTATAGCTTCAATACATGCTGGACAATCACCTCCTCCTTAGTACTAGTCATCCTTATCATGTTGGGCTTGCAATCGCGTCATAAAGAGGTTCTAGTAAGGCGCGTGCCTAGGGTGCTTTAAGAGACCTAGTATATTGCTGCAGCGCGTCGCACGCTTAGTGTCGCGTCTTGCTAAATAGCCTAGAGGGCAAGCTGTATATATGTTTCATTTAAAGGCTTTTTTACGTTGTTGCGTTGAGGCATTACAGGGAGAGTGAAGTTCGGTGTGGTCTTGGCAAAAGTGGCCAGCTCGCTTGGGTGGCCAGCTCGCTTGTGGAGTACGTTAGTTTATTAAGTAGAGCTACTATTATAGCAGGATTAGGAGTTATTGTAGCTATTGCAGCTGTTAGGACTGTTAGAGCTGTTAGCTTGAAATTAGCTAGACATTGAATACACATTAAATAACTGTTGTAGGCCTACAAGTCCTACTATTGCCCACAGTACAATGCCACGATTTCCTAATTTCGACAACGGAAAAACTTTTCCTGATGTAGGCTAGCAAACCTAGAAGCCTACTACCCATTACTCCCTACTAGAAAGGCTGCTGTTTATACACTAGCAGGTATTAAATCTATTGCTTGCAAAATATTGCACAATACACAGCAGACCTAGTAGTCTAAGAAGAAAGAAAGCCTCTCTACATAGTATAGAAGATAGGAGCTATGCTACTTACTTTACAGTAGACTACGTGAATTAGACCTACTAAGAGCTACCCTAGCTAGACTGCTCTTAATTTAATCTATACACAGCAACTTCACGTAGTACTACTAAAAGTTTAGGTACAACAATGTAACACTTACCTATTGTCGCAGCAGATATCATGCCTATTTTACCAGCCAATTCAGGGGTACAAACGTATGTACATTTTGCCTCTATTTTGGCTGCAACAGTTATGAGCCCTGACGCTGAAGCTGCGCAAGCAAAGATTGAATGGATTTTCGTGTTCCATGGGTGACCATAGCCGAGCCTTGGCATGGTACCTGCTCTGTTGGCGTGCTATCTGCAGCAATAGAGCATCACGAAGAAGGATTCATCTATTACTCAGCACATTAGGCATTCTGCTGTGTTGTGTCACCTCCAATCATGCGGTCCTAGTTAGACGTGAGGGGGTGTGTCGCAGCAGATATCATGCCTATTTTACCAGCCAATTCAGGGGTACAAATGTATGTACATTTTGCCTCTATTTTGGCTGCAACACCTATTTATACAGACGTAATAAGACGCTAGAGCACCTTGCGCTCTACTGCAAGACCCTAGGAGCCTTTAGCTAATAGCCACTTTAAACCTTCTATACCACTATCTAGCTAGAGCAATAGCCTAGCGTATACTGCCGCGCTAATTAGGGATCTAGAGGCTTTTAAAGCCTTTGTCTAACTTACACAGTACTACACTAAGGTCTGCCCCTAGTAGCTTACCCTATACTGCAACAGCAGCAAATAACTATACTCTTTCCTTACTCTCCTTCCTACTCTTCCTCTCTCCTACTTCTCTAGCACTTAACTGCCTCTAAACACACACAAGGGATCTACCCTTAATATACATATATAGCTTAGTCTCCCTAACTAGACAGGGAGCTGTAGTTCTAAAATAGTAGTAATACCTGCGCAGGCAAGAAATACTTTCTAAGGTAGTGGTAGCACTGTAATTCTATAGCTTAGCACGTTGTATATGCCCTTTAGGAGGCAAGATAATAGACTTCATCCTCATCAACTAGACGTAAAATGAATACCAGCCAACCAACCAACTAACCCTGTGAACGCCAACGTTATACTTAATAGATTCCGCCACACAAGCCCTGACAGCTCAGAATCAGTCTCCTCTAGTTCTACAGCTTATTCTGCAGAGGACTGGCTCAAAGCTTGCACTACCCTTCAGGCAGAGGTGAAAGATTCACGCAGTGCAGGCGCGCGGAAGCTGGGTCAAACTATCCACCATCTCTCAACCTAGGTAGAGCTGCTTAACAACGAGCTGAATGGCATACGTAAGAAGCTATACCAGAAGAAGAAGCGTCAGAATCAGCCTGTAGGGCAAATGGATTTACAGCAGCACCAGGAGTATCATGGTAGAGCAATAATGTGGTCTCCTCAGGCCTTCCGGGAGGCGCGCGCTTGTATAGCTATTACAGAACAAGAGAAGTAAGCAGATGATCTGAAAAAAGCAGAGATGAAGCACTTAGCTGCTGCCAACAAGCTCTACACTAAGAAGATTGCAGAAGAAAAGCGTGTAGCAGCTGCAAAGGCAAAAGAGGTGCCTGATCATGAGCGTGCTGAGGAACGCGCAGGCATTGATGCGCGCAAAGAGCAAAGACGCAAGAATAAAGAGGCTTACAACGCTGCGAAAGCTCTTAAATTATCCTAAAGAGGCAATTGTACAGCTTTAAAAGCTTCTACAGTTAAACAGAAGCCTGCGCGTCAAGGTGTGGGTGCCCGTAGTCATCCAAAGCCTGCAACGCCTCCTCCACCACGCCCAACTATCACCACACGCAGTGGCCGCACCGCCACTAAATATCAGTAACTTTGTATTAGAAACTTTATTGCTCAGGTCTATAAATAAATCCACCATAATATCTCGTGATAATAGCCATTGTATGTGGATCTACAGCCTCAAATTCGTGATGGCCGTACAGGCTCGGAGCGGGCGTTCGGTGACTCCGGGCGTTCGGTGCACGGACACTGTACCGTGTCCGTGCGCGTGATGCGCGGATTCGCGTGATGCGCCGAACCACCTTAATGAGCACCTGCAAAAATGAAGCTATAGAGCCGCATACAATAGCCATTATCACGAGATTTTGTGGTGGATTGCTCCATAGACCTTTGCGACAATATTCTCTCATACAAATTAATTATATAGAGTTGCTGTTCGGCCGCTGCGCGTGGTGTGGGTGCGAGGTGCTGCAGGAGGCTCAGCAGCATCAACCCCACGCGCAGCACCCACAGTGCGACGCTT